CGTTTGGGAACAACAAAGGCCAAGTTCCAGTAACTGTTAAAAGAGAGGTTGAGCTGATTGGGTGCCATCGGGCTAAAGTCAAGCCGACTGAAAAAGTTGAGGATGATGAAGTGGAACTAAATACAGATATCAAAGCAGAACAGAAGAAAGACCAAGATTTGAAGCCTATAATTGATTTCCTAAAAGCAAGTGTTGTGCGCTCTGCTTGGGAGAAGGTGTCTAGTCTAAGCCTTGTGATAAAGCACTATTGGGCGCAATGGGAGCAGTTGAAGCCCAACTTCCCATAACCGTTTGCCAGGTCGTCACTTCTCCCATCTGCAGTTTCCCATCTCTGGAGAAGAATACCATCTTCAATGCTGTGTCAATCCCATGATAGTTTAACAGGAGGACATCTTGGAGTTAAGAAAACATTGAGTCACCTACGACACAGATTTTACTGGATAGGTATGAGACAAGATATGGAAGAATGGAAAGGGGGCCCCAGCATAAGTACGTGCTCCAATGAAGTTATATCAAGTTGGTGCACCAGTGGAAAGAGTAGCCGTCGACATTGCTGGTCCTCTGCCCCAAACTCGTGCTGGAAACAAGTACATTTGTGTGGTGATGGATTATTTCACCAAGTGGCCTGAGGCATATGCAATACCAAATCAGGAAGCTACAACTGTTGCTTCGGATATTAGTGATTTCTTCTTCAGATTTGGTATGCCATGTGAACTGCATTCAGATCAAGGCCGTAACATCGAATCAGCTGTGTTCCAAGAATGCTGCAAGTTGTTTGGCATCCGAAAGACCAGGACAACGCCACTTCACCCTCAGTCTGATGGGATGGTAGAAAAGTACAACTGGACACTGGGACAGGAATTGGCAAAGTTTTGTAATAGCCACCAAGATGACTGGGATGTCTTACTTCATCCACTGTTGATGACCTATAGGACAGCAGAGCATGAAACCACTGGATACACTCCAGCAAAGTTGATGTTTGGTCAGGAACTTCGGTTGCCAATGAATCTGTTAACAGGACGCCCACCTTATGAAGAGTTGCCTGAGAATGTGCCAGAGCTCGTGAAAGTATTATCTGAAAC